TTGCTGGTAAAGATTTTTCTCCCAATTTGTTGGCTGTCTTTCTAGTTTAGTAACTATGCCCTTAGCTGTGCAGAAACTTTTTATTTTGATGTAGTCCCAGTTGTCAAGTCTCTCTCCTATCTGTTGTGCCTCTGGGACTCTTGTCAAGAATTTTCTACCTGTACTTATAAATTCTAATATTGGAGATAAGAGTCTTAATAGACTTTCCTGCCTGGAATGGCTTTGAACCATGATCCTCAAATCTCATCCTCCTGTGTAGCTAGGATTACCAGCATGGGCCACCAGCACCAGATGACCATCCTTTTTATTGCTCCTCTTTGGGGGTCAAGGGGTTAAATTCAGGGCCTCACACTTGCTACGCAGGCACTGCATCACTGAGATGCACTTCCAGCCCTGTTTGTGCTTGTTACTTTTGAGGTAGAGTTTTGCTTTTTACCCAAAGCATGCCTGAATTACAATCCTCCTATTTAGATTTTCCACTGTTTCTGGAAGGATAGCTGAATACTATCAAATCTAGCTTTCCTCTCTTGAGAAAGAGTCTCTCAAACTCTTCTGAACAGGCTGGCCAGGAGCCATGGTCCTCCAAATCTCAGTCTCCCCTGCCCCACTGTGCCCAGCTATGGGCTGAGACAGTCTCTTGGGAACTTTTCTGTCCTGGCTAGCCTTGAACTGCAATCCTCTCTCTCTCAGCCTCTCACATGGCTAAGATGAAAGGACTGAGCCACAGTCCCCTAGCACATCTCCTTTCTAATATAGCACATTGTCTTGTTTCAAGCTGCTAAGGAGTCATAAGCTTCATTCATAAGAAAGCCTGTGTGATCAGTGTGACAGAGAGAAAGCAAACGCTGTGGATAAGGAGAGAGAGTAGGAGGCTGGGGAAGCAAGTCTGCTCTGAGTACGGTGTAAAATGGCTGTGCTTCAAGTGATACAGCTTGGGGATCCTGGCAGATTCTGGACTGCTATATTCAGAGTATTTGTTAGGCCCACTGCTGTTCTTAAACACACACTACCTCCAGGCCATGTTCTCTTTCTAAGACTTCAAATGTAGCACCATTTCTCCAAGTCACCAGCATTGCTCACAGGGGCCGATGTGAGTGCCCAAAATGGCAGGCATGGGCCAGAGAGCCGCGGCCACGCCTGCCAGCCAGTCAGCACTCACACATCAATCATGTCCCTGCCTGGCTTGCTTATAATGAGAGCAACCGTTAGTGGAGATCTCTTTTTCTGTTTTACAGTCCCTCAGAAGCTCCTCCAGGCTGCTCTTTGTCTTCCTCCTTCCATATATCTGCAGGGAAGGACTTCGTGGCCACTTCTTCGGGGGATGCGGAGCTATAGATCTCTGAATTTATGTCTGGTCGTCAGGTCCCCTTCTGATTTCTGCACCATAAGGTGAAAGCCAGGGCAGTGAGAATGATGTTGCATTCTAATAGATCTGAACCAGCTTCGGACAGATTCTTCTGACAAAAAATGTAACATTCAATGATGGTTGCACAGCTCAGAGGCTATGAGAAATCCAAGGGAGGAAACAAAGAGGACGTCTACATATGAGCCCCCTCACTCCCAAATTGCTATCAAAAGTCAGGTAAACTGTGAATGGCAGGGAAAGCTAAACCAACAAATTGAACGCCAAGAACGGCTAGCCTAGAAACGGCTAGCCTAGTAAGATGTATCCCAGAGGATGCTACATGAACATAACACTTCCTGAAATGGAGGGGTTTCTGTTCGCTACATGAACACAAGAGGGGATCTTTTAGGTAGCCAGTCTCTAAGTTGGCCCTGAGGATCCTTGACTGCCACTCATGTCTCTGTGTGTGTAAAGGCACCTTCCACACTGAATGGTCCTGTGTGGCCAATAAGAGACTGCAGTGGTACCGCTGCACTACTTCAGTGGCTATGTAATAAAATGTACTTTTCATGCTGTTTTGTTCTCTTGGATTGCTTGCTTTGGAAAGGAAGGGGGTGAGACAAGGCTCCAACTGATGTATTAGGCACATATAATGTCAGTGTTAACACTGAAGAGCCCAGCAAGAAGTGCAGGCGAAGAGCTGTGGCTCCTGTTAACTGATGGCCCTACTGTGTGTGTGTGGTTTGCCTTTAAAAGACGATGCTCCAGCTGGAGCTAAACCTTAGAAAGATGGGAATACCCACCAGCAGCTTCACTACCACTGTAGGAGGGATCAGAAAGCTGCCCAGCTAAGCAGCTCCTCAATATCTATTTCACAGAACTTGGGTATTGTTTTAAGTTACTAGACTTGAGATTTGTTTCATTAGCAATACTTACCCAGTGGGGGATATGAAGTCAGATCAATTCTGACTTTGTTAGAAAAGTCAAAGAGAGATACTTTCGTGTGTGTGTGTGTGTGTGTGTGTGTGTGTGTGTGTGTGTGTGTGTGTGTGTGTGTGTAGGCGCGCATGCATGCACTATTACTGTTGCTTGAACTCAGGACCTAATGAGTGTTCATTTTTTTTTTTTCATTTGTGGCTGATGCTCTACAACTCAAACCACTCCTTCCTTTCTGGCTTTTTGCTGGTTAACTGAAGATAAGAGTCTTACAGACATTTCTGCCTGGGCTGGCTTCAAATTCAATAATCAGATCTTAGCCTCCTGAATAACTAGGATTAGGGATAGGAGCCACCAGCACCCAACTAAGAGATGTTTTTTTTTAATCTCATGTAAGAAATTTTAAATTATGGCTGGTGTTGAAGGCTAGAATCCTAGCTGCTCAAAGGGCTGAGGGCTGGAGTATCAGTCTGGGCAGAAAGACTGGAAGCCAGTCTGGGCAGAAGTATCAGTCTGGGCAGAAAGACTGGAAGCCAGTCTGAGCAGAAAAGTCCCTAAGATTACATTACTAGTGAACCAGAAAAATGCCAGGCTAAAGCTGTAACTCAAGTGGTAGAGCACCAGCCAGGAGCAAGAAAAGCTGAGCAAGAGTACCACTCACAGGAGAGAAATGTTCTCAGACTTCCCAGCCCAGACAAGATGCCAGCTGAATGCGATTGAATGAGTGACCCTAGGAATGCCCACAGGTGCAGAAGAACTGGCCAGTTGAGTCTTGAATAACCTCTTTGGCATCTAAATAACTGGTTGTATCAAGCCACCAGTACATTTTAGCTGGTTGTTATATTGAATATATAACCAAAACTCATAAGGGAAAGCTATTCCAGTGAAAGTGAACACTGAAGAATATACATAGTAGCATGAGACAATCTGGATTGCTGGAAAGTAAAATGTATGCAAGAGAGTAGCAGGTGATAGATGAGTCAGCAGGAAGCTGGACATGGAGGATCTGACACATGCCATTACAAGGAGGATAAGTTTGAAAGCCAGAACAAAAAAGGGACAGGGCGGGGCTGGGAAGGTGGCTCAGTGGTACAGCGCTTGCCTTGCATGCCTTAGGCCCTGGGTTCGATTCCTCAGCACCACATCAGCAAAAAGAAAAAAGCCGGAAGTGGCGCTGTGACTCAAGTGGTAGAGTGCTAACCTTGAGCTGAAGAGCTGAGGGACAGCGCCCAGGCCCAGAGTTCAGGCCCCACGACCGGACCCCCCAAAAAAACAACAACAACAAAAAAAAGGGACAGGGCTTTTTGATGCAAGGTCTGATCAATGTGGGGTTCAAGATCCACAATAGGCATTTCTGAGTCCTTTGCTCTCCATCGCATAGATCTGAGGGCACATATAATGGGCAGCATTAGGAGGAGAGAAGATTGCTGTCACTTATGTAGAATGATCACTGGGGTTTGCTTCTAACTAGTGTTACCGTGGTTTGAATTCAGGTCAAATTAATGTGTGTGTGTGTGTGTGTGTGTGTGCATTTGTGCATGCACAAGTGCTAGGTCTGAGCTCAGGGTCTCATGCTTTTGTTCAGGTTTTGCCCACAGCATCAACATCTTTTGTACTGAAATAACTTCTCTTTTTTGCTGCTTCCTTCCACTTGGTAGCTAAAATCTTCAAGAATGAGGCAGCTTGCTTTAGGTGTTTGCAGGTGATAGGAATAGAAGCTAGGGAGGCAGTTGATGTTAACAAAAGAGCAAAGCAGACAACTTGCTTTGCTTTCTATTTCCTGCATTCTCTATATTCACATTCTTTCTTGTATATGGTACATTTCATTTTTTTTTTTTTTTTTTTTTACTGTGAGGCAATGGCTATTTAATAATCATTTTGGTGGTGCTTTCTCTACTCAGGCCAAATGTCTTCCTTGGAGCCACGATAGTTGTTTCTTGCTCTTTTCCAGATCATTTGAACTTATTCTCTGAATAATTCATTACACAAGTGTTTCATCTCCTTTCTATTCTGTCCTTCATAGCATCAGGTTGGACATCAAGCAAGAGAACATTTAAAGTAGCTTAATTCAGTGAGGCATTCTCAAGCCTTAAGTTGTCTAGTTGTGGACAGACCTGGGCTGTTAACTCTGCATCTTCATGAAGAACCTACTCGTCTATGTTTTGTTACAATAGCCTTAGTGTGAACCTTTTATCTTCCTGGATCATTGCGAACTTTCCAGGAATTGTGTCAATATTTCAGAAGGAAGAAACTTCATCCTGGTCAAAATTTTACCTTTCTCAACAAAATCAGTCATCAAACCCTGTGGGTATTAGGCGCTCCTTAGTCTTGGTTCTGTGGGCAATAAATTCAGTATTTTCTCTCCAAGTCAGTCAGAGGCCACAAGGTTCTGTTTATCAGTGTGAAGCTGGGGAACTGAGTCAGGCAGCTGTTTTATAGTCTATGGTTGGACAGTACTGATCAAAGATCTGCTTTATTAACAGGAAAAAAGATAATCCCCACAGCATGATCTAAATAAATGGCAATTTAAGGACTTGCTAGCAGGGTGTTGGCTTCTTATGGAAGGTAATGCTCTGCTGCTCTGGGTCTGAGCTGTCCAGTCAGGATAAACCAAATGTAGAGCAGTCAGGACGGATCTTTTCTTCCCTCGGAACCATTCTCTTGGGGCCGAGTTCCTGCCCGGACTACGAACGCCGCAGGCCCGGGGCCGGAAGTGCGCGGTGCCCTTTCCCTTAGGCAGGGAGGGAGCGGGTGGCCCCGCGGAGGACGGGCGACGATGGCGGCCTTCTCCGGTGCGTAGGTGGACGCTGGGGGGTGGTGTGGGCGGCTCGCTGCGCGCCGGGCCCAGGGGGAGGTGCTGGGGAGGTCTAGGCCGAGGGGCGCTGTCGGCGGCGGCGTGGGGGCCCCGCGCTGCAGGGTCCGGGGCGGCCTCGTAGGAGGCGGCGCGGCGCGGCCGGGTCCCGCCCGGGCCTTCCTGGCCCCGCCGGCCGTCCCGCCCGTCTGTCCTCACGCCGCTTTGTCCAGATTCGCGGCCACAACGAGGCGGCGGCGGGCGGTGCCGCGGACGCCGGGCCTCCTGCAGGGCCGCCGACCCGGGCCTCCTGCAGGGCCGCCGACGTGGCCGGGCCTCCTGCAGGGCCGCCGACCCCGGGCCTCCTGCAGGGCCGCCGACGTGGCCGGGCCGCGGCCCCGGGAGCCTGGTTCCGTCCTCCGCCGCCCGGTCAGGGCGTGGGAACGGCGGAGGGGGCGGGGCCCCTCGGCATAGGGTCACATCGCCTGTCCAGTTGTTGCTGTTTTTAAGACCCTTCCAAGCATAAGAAGTCTCAAGCATAAACCTTTCTGTTCGTTGTTGAGCACCGCTAGATCAGTATACAGTGAGACGTTGGCGCTCTAGGGAAAGCTGTGTCCCCTCACGTCCACGTTCGCCCTCAGTATCACTTTTTAAATTAGTTGTGAATTTATTTGGCGTGGGTTACCCTCTTATTTCCAAACGGGATTTGACGGAAGGTTAATCCAATCCAGATGTCGGCTGTCGTTTTTCTGTCTTGCTCCGGCCTGTTCCTTTATGCATCTACTTTTACAAAGATCCAGTTGGTATTCAATGTATGAAATAGGAGCCAGATGCCAGTAGCCCACACCTGTAGTCCTAGCTACTCTGGAGGCTGAGACCTGAGGATCATGGTTGGAAGCCAATTCCGGCAGGAAAGTTCATGAAAGTCTTCAGTTAAGCCAGCCAAAAGCCAGAAGTGGAGATGTGGCTTAAATGGTTGAGTGCCAGCCTTGAGGGAAAAGAACTAAGGGACATAGTTCAAGCCCCAGGACTGGCACAAATGTATAAAGATAGAGATGATCTATGAATGATAGGTTTATATAACAGGAAATACATGAGTTAGATATACTTTTTTTTGTTTTGACCTTTTAAAATGACTTAAATTGTTAACAATGTGTTTTTCAGTTTTCTCCAATAAGAATATTAAAAATTCATAATCTCCAGTCGCATTAGAATAGTTCTGACTGTTAAGTGTCTTGATAGTAAAAGTCTGGAGAAAATCTACTCAAAGTGGTTGCTATTTTTCTCTTCCCAACTCTTAGGGAAGACAGTATTAAACCTAAGAGTTTTAGAGTAGTTCCAGGCTGGTTTGTAGGTGCACATCTTTGGGGAATCATACACAGATTTTTGGGAATGTTGGGATAAAAGGCTGGAAGAAAAGCCAGATGCCAGTGGCTCATGCCTGTATTGCTAGCTACTTAGGAGACTGAGATCTGAGGATCATTGTTTGAAGCTAGCCCTGGCAAAGTCCATGAAACTCTGATCTCCAAATAACTAGCAAAAAGCTGAAAATAGAGATGTGACTTAATTGGTAGAGTGGTAGACTTGAGTGAAAAAACTAAGGGAGAATGCTCAGGCTCTGAGTTTAAGCCCCAGAACACACACCAGAAAAGGACTGGAAGAGTCTGTGATAGGATAAAAATAAAGATAAAAAGAATTGAAGAACATAATAGTCCTATTTTCCCCCCTTAACCATTAGAAGCATGATTTCAAAGAAAATCTGCACAGCACATGACCATAATAGGACAGGAAATTAGCTGGAATTTGCTGAAAGGAATCTTGTTTTCTGCTTGTATGTTATCAGTCTCAGCTTATAACTAAAGTATCAGTACACTCTAAATGGCGTAATTCTTAGAAAGATCTCTCTGGCTATATAAATTTAGAGCGTGATAAACAGATTATCCTGAGGGAGATTTAGTTAGAAAAACTTCTTTTTTTTTAATTTGGAAAATGGTGGTTCTCCACCCGATACAAAGGAAAAACTACTTTTGTAAAGGTTATAGTCATATTGTGGATTTGCTTTTTCACAAACTAACAAGAATTACAGAATTTCAGAGTTGATTATTTCTAGGGCTTGGATATTTGTTAACAGGGATATATACTTTTATAATGAAGTTATAGGTTGGATCTATAAATGTAGACTGAAGATAAGGATGACTTCTCATCTTGAAGGGAATTTTAATCTAGTTAACTACTGGAAGTATAATTACCCTCTGTTTTATTTGAGAAATGATACAGTAACAAAATCTAGTCAGGAATAACCCATTGTATTCGTTTAAAACTATCCTTAATGTAGAGTTATTTAAATACATGAACATTTAAGAGCTGATCTTTGACATCTCTTAATTGCTTAAGTTTTCACTACCAGCTCCTTCATTTAACCAGAATTATGATTATGGCTGCCAGTTTTCTCAGATTCTTCTCATATTCTTAAGAGTTCAGTTGTCAAGATATGCCACATAATCCCTAAAAGAATAGAGATTCTGGCTAGAACCCTAATTCCATGAGGCTTTTTAGTAGCCCAGTAGTTAGTTGGTAAACAAATACTGATGGCTTCTCTGTGGTAAGATATAACTGTATACAATACAAATTACATTATTCTCTAATCTTTCTGTAGCCCTACAAGTTTGGTAATTTAAGCCCCATTATGTAGGGCAAACAAATTTATGGACTTGCCTAAGGTCTCTTGATAGGAATTGAGAGCTTAGAGACAAGCCTCTTTTCCAAAACTTAATACGTTACAGCAGTGCCACACTGGGTAGGTCCAATAGAAAAGCCGCATGAAAGTCATCTTAAGAGCAGGATGGTTTATAGTAAGCTTAATATAAATGTTTTGTAAAATTTCTATTTATTTTCAGAGATGGGTGTTATGCCTGAGATTGCTCAAGCAGTGGAAGAAATGGACTGGCTGTAAGTACACAGAACTTAAGTGATATTTTATAACTTGAGTGGTGATTTAATGAAAAATATTTTTTAGTGGGATAAATGAAACTCAGTTTTTCTGGTGATTCTTTAGATGATGGAATGCTTTCTTTGAACTTCGTTTCTAGGCGGAAAAACACTAGTTTATTTTCCAAATGAAGATCTCTTTTAGGTTTATAATATAATGATTTAATCAGCTTGTGACTTTTTTTACTAAAATTTTCTCAATGCAATTCTTTCAGTCTTCCAACTGATATCCAGGCCGAATCTATCCCATTAATCCTAGGAGGAGGTGATGTGTTGATGGTATGTTTGTATTGACTGAGGTGGCTGGGAGCTGGGATGGTGTGTATGGTCTACTGTAAGAACACCCGTACAATTAAAAATGGTATTTTTGCCAGAATAATTTTTAAACTCACCAACATTTATGAGATAGTGAATAGGAGTGCAGGATATGACCCTGGAATAGTTTAGGTAGATAGTAGCATAAAATAACTATACCTGGGTAGGAGAGAGTAACTTTTGATAAAATCGCAAACAGTTTGGGGCCCTTCTCGAATCTCATTAAAAAGTTTGGGAAATTGTTTGTAGTGGGGGTATGCAGTAGATGTGTTGCATGGTTAGAATTATGTTTTTGTGAACACTAATTTGGTAGCAGATTATAGTAGCTCTATGAGTTAGATACTATTTGGATAGATATTGATTGATCAGATACTGTTTGGATACTCTGAGAATTAAATTATGAGGGCTTCCATTTGACTGCTGGAAAAAGGGAAGGGAAAGCAGATCTTACAGGGTTTGAGAGAAATGACATGATTGGCAAGGGTGACTGAGGAAGTCTGGGTAATCGTGAGGCACTGTGAAAATAAAGGTAGCTACTGGTCACATGTTACGGATTTTTACATGGTATGCTGATTTGATATCTTGCATTGATAATTTATAAGCTCTAAAAATTTCCCCCTTATTCAGGCTGCAGAAACAGGAAGTGGAAAAACTGGTGTAAGTAGTACATTTAAATTTGGTTAAGCACTGAATTTTAAGGAGTTTTTCAACACTAGCTTTTATTTTGGATTAGTTAGTAAAACAATCACCTCCAAATGTAATATACATCACACACATACATATATTCTTGTGGCTAGCAAATTATAAAGCCCTACAAAAGAACAAAAATAAGAACATAATTATAAATGGGTCCTGGAGGAAGAGTTACAATATCTTTAGTGTTTATACTCACTTCAGAATGTTAATGGATTGGTCTTTTTATAAAGAGATCACAGAATGTTAATCTACTGTAGTTTATTACTAGAAAAACAGTTTATCAGACTGGATAATACTTTTCCTCAGGCTCATTCTGCAAGTCCTCATTTATTAAGGCCCTCAGCTGGCTTATATTTCCTTTTTCTGTCAACTCTTGGTTATCTTAGTGATGTTTTGGGTTTGAGCAAATGAAATGTGGGGCAGCAATCTGAAATACATGTAATTATTTCATGTGCATACGTAATTTCAGTTTATGTTGGTTACGATCTTTAACATTTGAATACTAATATAGAAAACGTATTTCTCTGATAGGCTTTCAGTATTCCAGTTATCCAGATAGTTTATGAAACTCTGAAAGACCAACAGGAAGGTAAAAAAGGAAAAACAACAATTAAAACTGGAGCTTCAGGTAAGTTTTATACATTGATACTTCCTTTTGTATAAATCAGTTATTCTCTGTGGTATTTAGAAATGTGACATTTAAGTGGGGTTGTCTTGTCTTGTTTTTTTAAAAAACAATTTCTGCACTGTGCTACTGGACTTAGGTACCCTGGAAACCAAATACGCAAAATGTCATTTAGAGCCTAAAATATAGGTAGTGCTACTGTTGAGAAAATACTGCATTTTGGAAAATACATTTAGTTGTCTTTGCATTTTTATTAACTTTTCATACATAATATTAAAGATGAATTGGCATATTTCGCAAAGGAAGTATTAGGGAAGGATTTTATGAATAATTTATGTAGAAAAACTTGATGGTGAGAAACATAGCTGCACACTGGTAAAAGAGGCAAACCTTTTCTTTTAGGACGGGAATTGAGGAGTGGGGTCTAGGAAGTTAAAATGTAAAATGTGAAGTCACGTTTTATTTTTAGCCCTGTTTATACAGTGGTTGGTTTTCTCTAGGTTTCTCAGCCTGTCAATACCATAAATGACCTTTTCTTAATTTCCTCATCTTTAAATGAGGTTATTTTGTTAGATGTTTTCTCGTTTATTTTATTCTTTAACCTTTTTAAGTTTTAACAGAATTGTTCAGTATTTTGACATTACTTTTCTCATGATACAAAGCAGGATGGTGACCAAACAGCAAGCATAAGTAGAGTCATTCGGCATGTCGACATTTTTTTCAATTTGCAAGAGTGTCATAGTTCATAGAATTCGTAAATGAATTCTGAAACAATAGTATTAGACTAAACTACAAATAGTTTCAGAACTTGTAACAACCATATGCCATCATTATGAGAGACACAGGAGGATAACCAGAGGGTGATGGTCCAGTGAGACAGACATTTATTTAAAAGGTGAGGATGATTGTGATACCACTGAACAGAGCTGGAGCAAATAGTGGTTTTACAGAGCAGGGCCAGAGCAGATGGAAATAATCTAGGTGATTATTAGCTTAAGTACTTGCTAAAGTCTAGATTAAGCCAGCAATAGGAGATCCTCAAGAAAAATACTTCTCTTTTGTACAAAGTGTTTAAGCAGATAATGATGTCTGTTGATCAGAAATGATTTTAGAAGGGTTTCTGCTTTAGTCAAGAAGTTGTGTACAATTGTTTGGTTATTCACAGCCTATTAAGATGAATCAGGAAAGGAAAACATCAATCTTTATGAAGAGTGGCAGAGGGGTGGGGAGAAGGAAATATGTAACTTTTGAATGTAATAGTGAATTAAGATAAAGGACTTACTGTTGTCCAGTTCTTTCCCAATGATTAAAGTCAACTGGCTTACTTACCTAGACTTCATTTTTTATTACTGACCTAGAAGTAGGGCAAAGGTCCATGTCTTCCAGGGCCAATGGCACAAAGCAGTAGAAGAAAGTTGGTGGTTGTCCTTGTAGGCCAGTGATTAGTCCCCTTGAGAGCTTTAGACTTGCCTTTAGTGGAAAATAGCTCATTTCATTTTATATCCCAAATACTGTATAAAACCTTATTAATCTAGAGGAATTAAGGCATCATAAAATATTATAAAATATGTTTATAGAGCATTTTAGTTTTATGTTTGTATGGAACTTTTTTTGGTAACTTTTTAAAAATCTTAATATATTTAGTGCTCAACAAATGGCAGATGAACCCATATGATAGAGGGTCTGCTTTTGGTAAGTATATGGATTTTATTCACTCATTTATAATTCATAAACTTTTTGCTTGAAAAACGGGTGCAAATACTAAGAAAATTAGGGGAAAATATGGCATTTTAGTTTGTCAAATGCTAGAATACAGCCACTGTAGTTCAACAGTATAGTGCAGAAATAAGAAGAGATGTGGAAAATAGTGGAGGTAAATTCAGGATACATGAGAAATGAATATGCAGGGGAAAATAGCATTTTAGTGGAGAAAAAGTAATAATTTATTCAGGAAAAGTGTTGGCACAATTGATGATCCATCTGGAGCAATATAAAATTGACTTCAGTCCCATTATGATTAGAAATAAATTTCACATAAACTTAAGATTTAAATTATATACGTGTGTGTGCATGTACATGCATGCATATATAAGTGTATAAAATTTTAAGTTGAGAAAATCACTTATACAGTTTGGTAAGATACAAACTTTCCTAAACCAAATAGGAAACTCCAAAATTGTAAAAGAGAAGATAGATCTATTTGTTTTTATTTTTATAATTTTAATTTTAGTTTTATAATTATTTAGTTTTATAATTTTAGTTTTATTTTTATAATTATTTTAGTTTTAGTTTTATAATTATTGATATTAAGTGTCCAAATTAATGGTATTTAATGGTGATATTTCCATAGGTGCATATGTTATATATCGATTGTGTCCATCCCTTTATTCTTCTTTTAACTGTCCCTTCTCCTCCTAGCATATTTGGGATTTTGGGTGGTGGCAGAATTTTTGTTTTGAGACAGTCTCAATATGTAGCTCTGGTTGTCCTTGAATTTATAATCCTGTGCCTCACAGCGTCTAGCTGATAAAGGTATATTTGCATATTTATTTATTTATTTATTTTTGGTGGCACTAAGGTTTGGACTCAGGGCTTGCAGTTATTTAGCAGAGCTCTACCCACACCTCTAGTCATTTCCCCCTTTTTTTCTTTTAAATTTTATTTTCTTGTAAAGATGTTGTACAGAGAGGTTCCAGTTACATCAGTAAGGTAATGACTACATTTCTTGTTGGGCATTTGAATAGAGTTTGCCTGGGCTAGCCTGGACTGAAATTCTATTTATTCTTCTCACATAGCTGGGATGACAGATACATGCCACTGAGTTGAGCTTTTTATTGGTTGATTTAGGGGGTCTTGTGAATTTTTCCCCAGGCTGGCTTCAGACAACAGTTCTGTTTTCAGTCTCTTGGGTAACTAGGATTACCAATGTGAGCTGTCATGCCTTGCTATAAGGATTCTTTATGTAAATAGCAGATAATAGTCTAGTAAGAAGCAAATAATAAAATAGGTAAAGGTATTAACAGGCAGTTGAGAGAGAAGAAATTAATAGTCACTAAATATGCAAGGATCATACAGATAGTAGGAAATGAACATTAAAGTGAGCACAATGACAGAGGATCATGCCTGTAATCCCAGCTACTCAGGAGGCCTAGATCTGAGGATTATGATTCAAAGCCAGTTTTACAGACAGATTCATGAGGCTCTTATCTCTAACCATCAAAAAGCAAGAAGTGGACTATGGCTCATTGTGGTAGAGTGCCATTTGTGAATGAACAAGTCGAATTAGAGTGCAAACCCCCAGAACCAGCATGCATATACAATTAATAACTGTAAAGCTAGGCTCTAGTGGCTCATGCCTGTAATCCTAGATACTGAGGAGGCTGAGATCTGAGGATTGTGGTTCAAAGCCAAGCCCAGGCAGGAAAGTCTGTGAGACTCTTGTCTCCAATAAACTACTCAGAAGAAGCCGCAGGTGGCACTGTGGCTTAAGAGAGGCTTAGGGACAGAGTACAGGACCTGAGTTCAAGCTCAAGTTCCAGGACTGGCAAAAAAAAAAGAAAGAAAAAAACTCAGAAAAAAAAGTTAAAGTGAGAACATGACTTAGATCAAGATACATGGTTCCCTAAATAAATGGACATATTAAATTGTAACTCTTGTACAGCCATTCAGAGTAATTTAAAATATGAATTAGTAGTCCTAAGTAGTATAAAAAAGATATTAAGAAATTTTCTCTAGATCCCTCTGATTAGAACAAATATGAAGTGTGCTCCACTTAGAATTTTCTTGAAAGCAGTTTGACTTACCTACTAAAATTTTAAAAATTCATTACTGTAGGATCTAGCTCATTAGAATAAAAGCAGCTGTACAAAGTTATGTACAAGCTGGGAAGGTGGCTCAGTGGTAGAGCGCTTGCCTTACATGCTCAAGGCCCTGGGTTCGATTCCTCAGCACCACATAAACAGAAAAAAAAAAGCCGGAAGTGGCGCTGTGGCACAAGTGGTAGAGTGCTAGCCTTGAGCTGAAGAGCTGAGGGACAGTGCCCAGGCCGAGTTCAGGCCCCACAACTCGACCCAAAAAAAAAAAAGTTGTATGTACAAGACATTTTGTTGCACCAGCACTTGTAATGAAGAAGTCAATACAAATAAGTTTTATTGATCAGAGGGTGATTTAACTAACATTAGAACTGTTATATAACCATCATGAAGAATGAGTAAGGACTAGAGTTGTGGAAATGTCACCAGGTGTTGGTGAATGAGAAAAGTATTCATGTGAATGTAAGGTCAGCCTACTTGCACTAATAACTCCAAACAAAATCTGCTATTCTTTACCATAGGGTATCTAATTTATATAAAAGCTTAGTTTGTATATATGCAGGAAGACTTTTGACTATAAGAATTTTAAGGATTCATCTCTGCTAGTGAACTGTTTTAAAAGTTCTGAGTTTTATGTAAGTCATTTCCACAAGCCCATGCTTTTTCTTCTTGATACTTGAATGACTTCATCTTAGTTAGACAAGTGAACATGTGCGATGCGGTGTTAATTTGAAGGTGCTATATCCAGGTGCTGAATATGAGGTGCAGATGTGAACTAGGGCAGTAGTTAGGTTTATTTCTAGTGCAGACATCACAGTGACCCACTGGCTTATTACATAGAAACTTAGCTTATGGAGTTCAGTATTAGCCAATAATAGATATATGTTAGTTGATGTGCTTTCTCCTACTTTGCCATTATGATTTCTGGATCTGTGAATTGGGAACAAGCCAAAATAGTTCCTATAACATTTTAGTATAGTGGTCATTTAAGCTTTAAGTATAAAGTCAACAATGGGAACAGTAATGAACAGGTACGGTGCTGTCCTTGGTACCAGGTTCTTTGAACAGCCTAGAGAATGGCTGTCTAAACACATTCATGTTGGTGGGGCAGCTACTACTAGTGCAAGTCAGGTTAGGAGCTATGTTGGTTCTTTCTGGATTTGATACAGTAAAACTTTGTCCTTGTTAACAGATATCAATATAGAACTTTTGTTTGTATATGTGTATATTCCTGTCCTGGGCTTGAATTTAAGGTCTGGGCACTGTTCCTGAGTTTTTGTGCTTAAGGCTAGTGCTCCTCTACCATTTGAGACGCAGCTCCACTTTGCAGCTTTTTGCATAATTGGAGATAAGAATCTCAGACTTTCCTGCTTAGGCTAGCTTCAAACTATGATCCTTAGATCTCAGTCTCCTGAACAGTTTAGGATTATAGGTATGACCCACTGATGCCTGGCCTAGCCCTCAGCGTTTTTAAGGACAGTTGGGATGAATAAGGGCAATGATTTTTAAGGACAGTACTGTTGTCACTCAGGAATCAGCAAGCCTCAAATTCTAGAACATTGTAATAGCAGATTTGTTTTCAGAGTGAATTGTATTTATTTCAGAGTATGTGACTTAAAACTTGTACTGACATGATTTGTCTGCTTTTTCTCAAATCCAGCAATTGGGTCGGATGGTCTTTGTTGTCAAAGCAGAGAAGTAAAGGAATGGCATGGGTGCAGAGCTACCAAAGGATTAATGAAAGGTGTGGAACCACATTTATAAAAACTTTAGAGACTATCTGTGTATGAACATACCTTAAATACCTAGAGTACTTATGTTCATTATTTGGTACATACAAATGATAATTCAGAAGCTGCGTGGTATATGAATCATGTGTATAAAATATGTAAAACTTAGAGTATTTTGCCCCTATAGGGAAACACTACTATGAAGTGTCCTGTCACGACCAAGGTTTGTGCAGAGTTGGGTGGTCTACCATGCAGGCCTCTTTAGACCTAGGTAAGTGTTTTCGAAGTAACTGAATTGATGTGTATTTGTGGAATGTTAATGTTTTATTAGCTTGGAAAACATAAACTTTATGTTTTAGAGACAGAGAAATAATATTTATTAGTGCTTTTGCCCTGTTCCAAAAAAAAGATTATAAGTAACTTGTTAAAACACAAATATGTATTTGAACATTATGAAAGTAGGGAGAATAAGGTTTAAGAATACGAAATCAGGGTAAGGTAGCATTAGTTCCAGACAGCATCTTGGAGATATGTCAGAGTATTGTGATTTTCCTTCTGGATTTCTTAGAGGCCATAGCAAAGAGGTAGGCTGTGTAGTGTCCCTAGTGTTGCTGATCTCCCTCAGCTGAAAATGCTTTGGATGTTTCAGAATTTAGAAACTTACCTATGGTTTCTTAAAATCACTTCTTTTACATGGCTTGTAACTTTCTATGTGTGCCTACTACATAAACTCTTTTAAATCTAGGTACTGACAAATTTGGATTTGGATTTGGTGGTACAGGAAAGAAATCCCATAATAAACAGTTCGATAATTACGGAGAGGTAAGCCATGATGTTACCTGATTTAAATTGCGTTAATAAGTTTTCTCATTTGATCACTTCTGACATGACTGAGGATATAGAAATGATTCTTTAAAAAAATAGATTTTCTGGCCGGGCGCTGGTGGCTCACGCCTGTAATCCTAGCTACTCAGGAGGCTGACATCTGAGGATCGAGGTTCAAAGCCAGCCCGGGCAGGAGAGACTGTGAGACTCCTATCTCCAATAAACCACCAGAAAACTGGAAGTGGCGCTGTAGCTCAAGTGGTAGAGCGCTCACCTTGAGCTGAAGAGCTGAGGGACAGCGCCCAGGCCCAGAGTTCAAGCTCCATGACCAACAAAAAAAAAAAAAAAAAGATTTTCTGTATGTTTTTCTCACAGTAATTAGACTGTTCTAAAGTTGAACTTCAGAACAGAAATATTAGGGAAGAATATAAATACGTAGGAGTTACAGTATTTCTTTCATGATACCTATTAGCCCTTCAAAAATTAACCTTTTCTATTGTACTGTCCTTCTGATTTTGCCTTTGGCTCTTGTATGTATGTTATTCTCCTTAGTTTGATCATGTTGACTGTATTATTAGTTCTTCAGGTAAACCTCATCCCATGATAATACTCAAAAACCTGTCAGATGCACCTGCTGTTATATATACTGTTGCATGCATTCAGTGACTTTTTTGACACATATGTTGCCAATTAAGAAAATTTATTTTGAGGAGTTGGAGGCTCAGTAGATAGAGTGCTGGCCAGTGAGCAAAAGCATCAGTACAGAGTTCAAGTCCTACTCTCGGTCCTAAAAAAAAAAAAAAGAAAAGAAAATCAATTTTGAAATACTAGCTACTGCTTTTATTCTTGATAATATATTTGAACATTGACTTCATTTAAGATTCTGCTTCCTGTTAAACATGCATTACTTTCTGGATTTCTAGGAATTCACTATGCATGATACCATTGGATGTTATCTAGATATAGATAAAGGACAAGTCAAGTTTTCCAAAAATGGTAAGCTCTGTGTGAATACTGTCAGCTAAATGCTGTTTAGTATTTGTGATTTTTTAAAGATTTCACCCTTTGTTCCTCTTGCCTTTCATTTGAACATACATTTATTGAGTATTTGCTTTGTGCCATGTATACTGATAAGTGCTGAAGGCAGAAAAGAGAATGTGCGGGAAGAATTTCTCTGTAAGGCTCTCATTACTGATGGGGAGTGGCAGACATGCAAATCCCATGTTAGGTGGTGGTAAGTTTGTGAAGGAGAGTGTATGGTAACAGCAGCCTGGGAATGCATGCTTTTTGATAAGATGGTCAGAAAAGCCTTTGCTGATGACATTGAATAGAAGTCAGAGTGGGATGGTGGGCTGTGTGGATATTTTGGAAGAACATTTCAGGCAGAGGGAACAGTAAATATGAGGGTCTTGAGGTAGAAGTATGGTTGAGGTTCCTGATTCACAGTGAGGAGGCCCAGGCTTCTGAGACAGAAACTATCTGGGATCTAGGTTCCTCTTGCTAGAAATCCGCTTGCTGTGGATTACCCAGTAGAGGAGGATGAGGAGAACCAGGAACATGTAAGGTCACGTGATCTAGATGAAGAAAGCATCTCTAGGAGGAGAAGCAAGCAGTTTGTGTCCAATGCTGCTGCTAGATTTAGTCTAGAAACATGGGGAGTGAGAATTAACTGCTGGATTTGGCAAGTAGACAATATCAGCCTACCTGTGTTTGTTTTGGTAATGGGTGAAGATTGCTGATTGAGTCAAATCAATAGGCAATGGAATGAAAGGAAGTGAACATACTAAAAATGGAGAGAGAAGGCAAATGGAAAGTAAGTGAAAGGAAAGGGGCTCAGGGAGGCTTTCAGAGTCTCTAATTGGGGGTGTGTTTGCTGTGCAGTGGGCAGTGGCAGTGACCTTGTAGACAAGGGGTAATTACAGTAGAAGGATGAGAGGGGGCAGTTTGAAGATGTAAAGTAAAAAAGTGAAAGCCTGGTCCTATCCTAGGTGGCACGGCTTATCCACGGGTGCAGAGGGAAAGCGTGAGCTGAGCTCAGGTGGGTTGGCAGGTTAGTGCTGAGTGTGTGGAAGTCCTTCTCTGTTGTTTCAGTTTCTCTGGTGGTGTTTGTTTCTTTAAGGAAAAGATCTTGGTCTGGCATTTGAAGTACCAGCACACATGAAAAATCAAGCTCTCTTTCCTGCCTGTGTTTTGAAGGTAATTAAAATTCTAGGTAGAAATTCATATGTTCATCAGCTGCATTTGCATTACCTTCTATGGAGCAGTTTGCTACTAGGTTAACATTTTTCTCCTTTATTTGCTAGAATGCTGAACTAAAATTTAACTTCGGGGAAGAAGAATTTAAGTTTCCACCTAAAGATGGCTTTGTTGCTCTTTCCAAGGCACCAGATAGTTATGTTGTCAAGTCACAGCACACAGGTTTGTACCTGAGAGGATATGGGTTTCTATAATGGGATGTTAGAGAAAACTCCAGTGAATAGGTTTTCTCAGAGAGAGTTCAGTTTATCTCCCTTTCTGACTTAGTTACACGTCTTTAACACATCAGAGTTGTAACTGAACCCATCAAGTCCACACACATCGAAGTTGTAACTGAACCATGAAGTACAGTTTCAGAGCTTAATTCTGAACTCTGTTTGCTTTCAGCTTAGCCGTTTAGAGCACCTCAGCCTTGCTGGTAATGGTATCTAATACATGTGCACTGGTACTTGTTAAGCTTCTTGAGTGCTTTACAGGGAAGGTTTTATTCTTCACAACAACCTTATGAAACAGTGTGTTCTCCTTTGTACAGACGATGAGCCTGAGGAATAGGAAATTGAAGTAACCAAAATCACAGAAAAAGAAAATGATAGAACTGAATGTAAATTGAAGCAGTCTAATGTGAAAGTTTATACCTCCCCCTTTGGATTTCCTGGTATATGTTTAAAGTAAACTCTGGTTTGTTTACCACAAACAAATGGGTCATTTTAATAGACATAACAATCAGTTACATTTATTGCAAAAGTAGGCTTAAAGAAAAATAGTTTGGGGCTGAGAAGGTGGCTCAACGGTAGAGTGCTTGCCTTGCATGCATGAGGCCCTGGGTTCGATTCCTCAGCACCACATAAGCAGAAAAAGCAGGAAGTGGCGCTGTGGCTCAAGTGGTAGAGTGCTAGCCTTGAGCTGAAGAGCTGAAGGAAAGCGCCCAGGCCCAGAGTTCAGGCCCCACGAACCAAAAAAAGAAATATAGTTTGTTTTAGGAATTTTGGCCTTATTTTGTTTGACTGTCTTCCATACTTATTTCCCTCCTTACTGGGGAATTGAAACCAGAAGCTCAAGCATGCCAGGCAAGTGTCCTACCATTCAAGTTGCACTCTTAGCCCTGTCTCCTGTACTTTTTGACAGTTGTTATTTAAAACTTTGACATATTCAAGCTCATATTTTATAGACAGTGGTGTTTTTAGGTGTGACATAAATGTGTTGTAATCTTTTTTTTTTTCTCCTAAGGTAATGCACAAGTGACACAAACCAAGTTTCTTCCCAATGCTCCAAAAGCTCTCATTGTTGAACCCTCCCGGGAATTAGCTGAACAAACTTTGAATAATGTTAAACAGTTTAAGAAGTATATTGATAATCCTAAGTTAAGGTAGGTCCTTCTTTGTGCTCAGATGCCTTTTTGTCATTAGGTTTAAAGTGGTTTAGAAGAACAGTACAAAAGAAAAGAAATATTTATTATATATACATAATACACATGCATCAGTAAACAAATATGATTAACTTTTATATGTAGTATCACTGTTTCCTTTATAAAACTTAAAACGAATTCCTTTGTAAGTGGTATTTTTGTTATTTTTTAAGGCAAAACCAAATTGTGGTTTTTTTTTCTTGTCTTACAGAAAAAAGTCATGGCGGGGTAGATGAATGAATAGAGGAAAAGAGGAGAATGCAGTTCTAAAATTCGATGTATATACTATGAAATTAGGAAAATTGAGGTGATGGATAGGGTTAGAGGGATGGAGGAGAATGATGAAAGGGGTGAGATTTTACTCATAAACAAATATGAGTTGTAACCCCTTTGAACAAGTACTTAAAGATAAATATAATTATTACTATTTTTTTGTCAGTTGTGGGGCTTGAACTCTGGGCCTGGGCACTTGTCCCTCAGCTCTTCAGCTCAAGGCGAGTGCTCTACCACTTGAGCCACAGTGCCACTTCTGGTTTTCTGGTGGTTTATTGGATACAAGAGACTTTCCTGTCTGGACTGGCTTTGAACTGTGATCCTCAGATCTCAACCTCTTGAGTAGCTAGGATTATAGGCATGAGCCACCGGCGCTCTGTGATAAATATAGTTTTTAAAAGTCATGGTTAGTCAAACAGTAAAATATTTTTGATGGTAATTTGATGTTTAATGTTTTTAGGAATTACTGAGCTATTTTTCTTTTTTTGTCAGTCGTGGGGCCTGAACTCTGGGCCTGGGCGCTTTCCTTCAGCTCTTCAGCTCAAGGCTAGCGCTGTACCACGTGAGCCACAGCGCCACTTCTGGCTTTTTTCTTTTTGCTTATGTGGTGCTGGGGAATCGAACCCAGGGCCTCATGCATGCAAGGCAAGCGCTCTACCACTGAGCCACTTTCCCAGCCCTGCTGAGCTATTTTTCAAAGCAACTGTGCCATTTTTGTTCTTCCTAGCAATGTATGAGGAGGGCTCTCTGTAGCCTCACTCATACATGCTCCCTGTGGTTGGGCGCGTTGCCCTCCCCACGGTGTGAAAGACCTTGTTATCTCCTTGTGACTTGGATTACTGTCATCGTTAATAACAATGAACATCTTTTCATGTGCTGGTCATCACTTGTTTATCTTAGGAGAAATGTTTTAATCTTTTGTCCATTTTATTTATTTTTTTTTTTGCTTTTTTTTTTTGGGGTCCGGTCATGGGGCCTGAATTCTGGGCCTGGGCACTGTCCCTCAGCTCTTTAGCTCAAGGCTAGCGCTCTACCATTAGAGCCACAGCGCCACTTCCGGCTTTTTTCTTTTTGCTTATGTGGTGCTGAGGAATCGAACCCAGGGCCTCATGCACGCAAGGCAAGCACTCTACCACTGAGCCACCTTCCCAGCCCCATCTTTTGTCCATTTTAAAATTGGGTTGACTTCTCTTATCCTTGAGTTCTAACAGTTCTTAATAGATTTTGAGGCATATTACTCTGTATATTAGATTTTTGTCTGAAAGTATTCTATTTTATGATTTTGTATTTTTACTCTCTTAGTATCTCTAAACTTAATTTTCAAGAATTCTAAATTTATTTTGTCACTGTGTTTTGGAATTGTATAGTGTTTAAAATAAGGTCATGAAAATCTCTACCATTTTTTGTGAGTTTTTATAACACCTTTCAGTTTTGTTCAGTTCCATGTAGAGATAATTCTTGTGTTTGGTGTAAAGAAAGGGTCTGAGTGTAGACTTTTGCATATATGTATACATTAGTCCCAGCCCCACTTGTTGAAATGAGAAAAATTCAAACATAAACGATTACTTTGAAATTAAGTCTTACTTTTATCTTCAGTTTCTAGTGTCCTTTCTTGATGTCAACCATTTTACGTAGACTTTATTCTTTTTTTTTGGTCTTGGGGCTTCAACTCTGGGCCTAGGTGCTGTCCCTGAGCTCTACCACTTGAACCACAGTGCCACTTCTGATTTCCTGGTGGTTAATTGGAGATAAGACTCTCATGGACTTTCCTGCCTGGTCTGGTTTTGAATTGCGATCCTCAGATCTCCTGAGTAGTTAGGATTATAGGTGTAGGCCACTGGCACCCAGTATAGACTTTATTCTTTTAGAAATTTTTTTACATATACAACTACATATATCTTTAAAGATAAATTGAAACTTGGTTTTAGAAGAGCTTGAATTATCCTAATATAGAAGGATACTTAAATGACCAATCATTTTGTGTACACTTAAGTGTTCACATTTTTTAAAATTACTACATGCCAGCTGTTCCTGGCTTTGCTTCTGACGTTGGAAGTATTTAGTATATAATTTCCCAGAATACATAGGATCTAGCAGTGTAAAAACAGACTTTACTGTCTTTCGGCATTATCATTTTGACTTATTTCAGGGAGCTTCTGATCATTGGAGGTGTTGCAGCACGGGATCAACTCTCTGTTTTAGATAATGGGGTAAGTTGTACTTTTAATGTTTAAAAACTTCTTAGAGGGCTGGGAAGGTGGCTCAGTGGTAGAGCGCTTGCCTTGCATGCATGAAGCCCTGGGTTCGATTCCTCAGCACCACATAAGCAAAAAGAAAAAAGCCGGAAGTGGTGCTGTGGCTCTAGTGGTAGAGCGCTAGCCTTGAGCTGAAGAGCTGAGGGACAGCGCCCAGGCCCAGAGTTCAGACCCCACAACTGGACCAAAAAAAAAAAACTTCTTAGAAACTGATATGGTCATGCTTATAATTCCAGCATTTGAGAGATGGTATAGGGTTACAAATTTGAGACCAGCGGGATCAGTGAGACCTCTTTTTCAAAGGAATAGTCTCCCCTCCTGCACCCCTCCGCCCTGCTCAGCACACAAGCATGCACATGTTGTTTAGCAATATGGTTCTGTTTTTGTTTTCTTTTCCCCTTAAGAAAAATAAATGAAGCTGAAATTAGTAAAAGGTCAAAAGACTATTTTTTATCAGAAACATCTTGAACATACCTTTTCTCCTCCAAAAGTATACAGATTGGTAGCTTGCTCTAAAATGTTTGTACAGAATTTGACTATAGATAAATTTGTTTAATCTTTTAGCACCTGATAATTTTCTTACAGTTTTCACTAATTAAATGTCACACTTATTTGGGGGAGGAATGAGGCATTTACAATGCAGAGACTAAAATTAAGGTTAAAAGTGGAGATGCAGTAGATTGCAGAAAAAAGTAGAAGTTTTAGCAGAGTCTCTTGGAAGGATGAGGAGTTGTAGATAGTTGGTAGGAGAAAAATGAGCTTACATATGGTAAGGAGAAGTCTTAAAGACTGCTCAGATACGTGACCGTGAAGGACAAAGCTAAAACTTCCAGTTGTTGGGGAAGAAGTTTGGGGAATTCTCACTGTGTTCGTCAGTTCTCTGAAGGTAAGACTTTGTGAATTATATTTTAACTCAGGGAATGAATATTCAGATTTGTCTTAGTGCCTTTTCTGAATATTTCAGTTAATCTAAATGACTTGATACTAAGTCATGGTAAACAGTTAGACCTCCCTTCCATTCCATTGGTTCCTCTATCAGTCTTATTTTGATCCCAAGTGGACTTTATTTATTTGTTGTTTATTTATTTATTGCCAGTCCTGGGGCTTGAACTCAGGGTCTGGGCACTGTCTCTGAGCTGCTTTTACTCAAGGCTAGCACTCTACCACTTGAGCCACAGTGCCACTTCCGTTCTTTTCTGTGTATGTGGTACTGAGGAATCCAACCCAGGGCTTTGAGCATGCTAGGCAAGTGCTCTTCCACTGAGCCACATTCCCAGGCCTGGACTTTATTTTTTTTTTATTGTAAATTTATTATGTAGTTGTACAGAGAAGTTACAATTTAACATGTCAGTTTCTGATAATGCATGTTGATCAATACCTCTTTCATCCCTCAATAGACTTTAGATCTGACTTGGTATAGTATAGTCAGAGCAAGGGATCATTACTACACTTGTTAGTGTTATTGTGAGATAAATGCTATTGCTTTGATATATTTTGTTTAGTAGATTACATTTTATTTTTATGCTTGGTAAGAAATTTAATAGGTTCATTTTTAGTCTTAATTTCTTAAATAGAAACAGTAAGTTTCTTGCCTCATATTTTCCAACTACAGTGCTTTCAGTAAATTAGATCTGCATTCATCAGTCATATTTCAAACTTTGAATCTGACTGAAGCCTTCGTGCTGGGTTATATTTAAGCAAGTTGGCATTGGAGTTAGAGAAGAGAACTACTTCATTTTCTTATCACCTAAAGTTGCTGTACAGACAGCATGCTGGAATGGCTAATGTTGTTATACTTCCTTTGAATGCCAGTCTGGATACTCACTACCTGAATAAACTAAATGCTTGTGACTTTAATATTCTGTACTCCTGTTTTCTTATTTAAAAAGAATAATAGACATGATTTCAAAAGAGGGACTATTTGGGGAGGAAGGCAGCAGAAAGGTAGAGGAGCAGCAAAAGAGAGGGTGTTTGTGGTTGAGTTACATTACATATAGCAGCGACATAACATAATGAAACCTACTGAAAACTTAGGGGGAAGGAGATGCAGAGAGTTATGGAGGGGATGAATATAATCAAAGGATATGTGTGTATGTAAAATCAGAATGAAACTCCTTTGTGTAATTTATGCTAATCTAATTAAAAATAGGAATAATAATAGTTGTGTACTTACCAGAGTGGTCAATGGAAATGAAACTTTGTAAGATGGTTAGCACAGTGGCTGTGAACACTTGACAAATACTTATTTTTTCCTATAATCACCAATATTGTTAAGTATAATGAAATTTATTGAGCCCCCAGTACACTGGGTACTCAAGAACTTTATGTATCTTCTCTCTTAAGTATCATAAATTACCTTGCAAAACAAAGGTACTCCTCCAATTAAAAATGAGAAAACTGATATTAGAATATTCTTAAAAAGTGGTGGTCACACAGTTGAATAATGTAAGACTGGAATTGTCGGTTCTGGTTTACTTGCAAATTCATGCAAATTTATCTGACTTTTCCTCAGAAAAGAATTTTATACATTAGCCTATATATATTATAGTTACTATCATCCAAAATCATTTGCCAAAGTCTTCACATTTATATAAAGCCAAACTGAAGTTTAATGTATGGTAATATGTATATCTCTTTCCTCAGAAATTTAACATTGACTATGATACTTCAGTATGTATGTTGTTATTTTAAGTAGATTATTGGTTCTATTTTTGGCAGTTACAATAGTTCTTCTATTTTCATTAGATGCTTTTGTTATTTTTCAGGTGGATATTGTTGTAGGTACTCCAGGAAGACTAGATGATTTGGTGTCAACTGGAAAACTGAACTTATCTCAAGTCAGATTCCTGGTCCTGGATGAAGCTGTATGTTCAAATATAGTCATGCTTTTTTAAAAAATGTGTTTACATTTTTAGAGATAAAGAAAATGTGTTGACATTTTTAGAGCTAAATAGTAAAATGAAGAACAATATAAATACAGTAGACCCTATTTATATTTCATAGTCAAAGATTCAACCAAGCTTGAATAAAAAAAATTGATTCTGCTATTTTTTGCACTATTTACATTGCATTATGATTCTGCTATTTTTTGCACTATTTACATTGCATTATGTATGCAGAATATGAAAACAATGTAAAGAATATGAGAGAGTGTTCATCAAATATTACACCATTTTATGAAAGGACTTGATATCCAACAGCAGTCTAATCACCTGTGGACTGGGAGGTGACTGTTAGTTTAAGTAGTTGAAGACAAGCTTTGATGAATCGAGGAAGATCTTTTTTTCTTGTAAAGTATAAATATTCCATGTCATTATTTCTTAATCATTCTTGAAGTCTTTATTGATCTATTATAGTTGTACTTCATGAGTTTTTTTTTTACTCTAAATGGGTATCTTTTCATAAATTATTTTTATACATTACAAATTACTTCTTTATGTCATAGTTGGAAAAGGTGGATGATCTGGAAGGCCATCAATGTGTTTGAAGCTTTTGAGATAGTCTTAAAAATTACTTTCAGGATGATCTGTTACATAGCACTTAGACTTTCATGCCAAACTCATAATTTTAAGGACATAAGTTATAATTGCATTCTTCCTGGAATGCTAGAGTATGATTTTAGATCGATAATTGTTGCTTTTCATATTTTAGTCTTAAGGAACTTGAGGTTGAATTTATTACTTTATCTTTGAATATCCAATAGAAAATAATCATTTTGAAAATACAGATAGTGATTAGTTTCTTTATCATACATTTTCAATTTGACTTAGAAGGGAAAGATTATGATGCTGATTGAACATGTGTGTTTTTCTTTACTTCCTGCAGGATGGGCTTCTTTCTCAAGGTTATTCTGATTTTATAAATAGGATGCACAGTCAGATTCCTCAGATTACCTCTGATGGAAAAAGACTTCAGGTATCAAATGACTAATGCAACTTAACAATATATATAGCCAATTGTTATACATTAATTCAGGGTCAAAAGTATTTTGCTTCAGTATCTTAGATGTTACAAAAGACGAAGTACAAGTCCTCAGCTGTTCTTTCCTGTAGAGCATCTGGGATTAATATACTTATATTATTAGCATGGCTTCTTGGTTGAAGGAAAAATAACTTCAGCTATTGACAAACAACTCCTCAGTGGCCATTTTTGAAAAGGTTGTTTTTAATTTTCTTATCCTCCCTTAGGAAGTATTTGAGAGGAATAAGGTTTTGTGAGAAGGGGATAAATAGTAACTTGGAAGACTTCTGATTTTCAAAAACCTTTTAATTTTACTTAGTTTGTAAGACTGTGAGGAAGAGGTGGCATGATTTCTTTGTGAGAGTGAGGGATTGACCTTCAGAGATGTTGGCCTGCCCGAGGTCACGAGCATCCTTGCTACATAGAATTAGGACATGTCTTTGGTCCTTGCTACACAGAATTAGAGCATGTCTTTGGAGACCACACTATCTTATTTTGACTCCACACCAGTATTAGTCTGATATTGTAATTATTGTTATAAATTAAAAGTTTGTCTGAATTTGAGGTTTCCTATTCTTAGGTGATTGTTTGCTCTGCTACTTTGCATTCCTTTGATGTAAAGAAGCTGTCGGAGAAGATAATGCATTTTCCCACATGGGTTGATTTAAAAGGAGAAGATTCTGTTCCCGATACTGTGCACCACGTTGTTGTCCCTGTGAATCCCAAAAATGACAGGCTCTGGGAAAGGCTGGGGAAAAACCACATTAGGGTAAGTACTTTGCAGACTTAATTCTTGTATAGAGTAAAGCTGCTCGTGAGCTTGTGAACCCTGGGCTCTTAATGGTACTTTAAAGTGATCAGATATTATGCTGCCAAAGAAAAGTTTTACATGCCACTGTGAAAGCTTGGAACTTTAAAATAATAGAGTTCACTGAATGAATGAGGGACCCCTTTTATTGTTTATAAAATGACTTCTGCATCAGCTTTCATGATACAATTTTTATAAGTAAATAGTATAGCATATCTAAGTTCAGCTGCAGTAATTTCCATTTTTAGCAATATTTTAATAGGATGCCCACCATAGCCTGTTGAAAACCACCTTAATGTGGTCATCTTGTCGTCATTCCCACTGTGATTCCATTTATTTTCACATAAGGATATAGTTATTATAAATACACAGTAATCTGAAAAACACATTTGTGTTTTTATTCTTACATTTGTAATTAATTGCCTTAAATCTACCATTAATGAAGGATTTTCCTGAACCTAAAAAGTGGCTTGTCTAGATTATAAAGATGTCTGATATGTGAGCCAAAGAGAAACATAGTTCCTCTTTCAAATATAATAATAATAAAATGTCTTTGCAACCACTCTCAACTTTCTCTATTCCTTTTTTATCCCTTTCTCTTGATAGACTGATGATGTACATGCAAAAGACAACACAAGACCTGGTGCTAACAGTCCAGGTAAGTTGAGTCAATAAAATGTGTTGGAAGATCTGGAAAATTAATTGTTTTTCTGTGTTGAGTTTATGCACTATCTACTCTTAAACAGGAAATTTGAAAATGAAAGCAAAAATAATGAAGTAATGGAGAGAAAGCTGTAACTCAGCTTAAAGAAGGAATGTCAGTCACTGAACTTAGTTTACTAATCTTCTGGCATCTCAATCACTGTTCATATTGATCATAGGAAATGAATAAACTTCTCTGAGACAGATATTATCTCTGAAATTCCAGAATAAATGTCATATGAGAGATTTGAGGTTAAAAGTATTTTCAGTTACAACAGTGAAAGATAGAAAAATGATCTATTCTGGTTTAATGATTTTTCTTTTTTTGGTGTGGTAAAATGTACATAGATAAAATGTACCATTTTGACTATTTTTCTAGTGGATCCATGGCATTAGTATTTGCATTGTACAGCTATCTTCACTGTCAATCTCCAGAACTTGTTTGTGTTCCCAAACTGAGACTCTCTGGACCCATTAATCAGTTTTTAGAAAACTCTAACATTAAATTTTCAATGTTGTGAGGATACTTCTAGGTATAGCTGAGACACTTTGATTCATGTCTACAAGGTATGAATGTACATCAGAATACAAAGATGGTACTAAAGCCTAAGAATTGGATCTTAAACCCACTAGGCAACATAGAATGTGTGTAGTAGGTCATTGGCAGTGGTCAGACTGACTGTATTTGCTTCTTGGTTGAATTCACTGGCAGATTTGTGACATGTATCTGAAAGATGAATTTTCTGGCAGCGCTGGTGGTTCATGCCTGTGATCCTAGCTACTCAGGAGGCCGAGATCTGAGGATCGCGGTTCAAAGCCAGCCTGGGCAGGAAAAGTCCGTGAGACTCTTATCTCCAATAAACCACTAGAAAACTGGAAGTAGCACTGTGGCTTAAGTGGTAGAACGCTCGCCTTGAGCTTAAGAGCTGAGAGACAGCGCCCAGGCTCAGAGTTCCAGCCTTATGACTGACCAAAAAAAAAAAAAAGATGAATTTTCTGAAATCTTATGTATGTGTATGCTGGACCTGGGACTTGAACTGAAGGCTTTATGGTCTCAGTTGTGCTAAGCCCTAGGCCCAGAACCAAACACACACAAATCCAAACATTGCATTTATTGAACATTTAGGTAAATTAATGCAAGGGCAGATTATGAGTAGCTCTCCATGAAAGGTAACAAAGTTTTGCTGTGAGTTTCTATTTATTTTAATTTGTGTGTGTCTTCATAAGAAATGAGGTTTTTGGTATTTTGTACCTGAGAAAGTAATGTAAAAATGTTAACAGGAAGAATAACAAAGACAAGAATGTATTGACTTGCTCTCTCTTTCATATGATGTCTTGTTTGTGGTACTTGTAGTAAAGCAGTTTTCTTAGAGTTGAGCAGTAAGTCTGTGATGAATTATATATAATCATGACAACTTGAGGTTGAAATGTTTTGGATTTTTTTGTTGTTGCTCTGATATTCAAGAGATGTGGTCGGAAGCTATTAAAATCCTGAAGGGAGAGTATGCTGTCCGAGCAATCAAGGAACACAAGATGGATCAAGCAATTATCTTCTGCAGAACCAAAATAGACTGTGATAACTTGGAGCAGTACTTTATGCAACAAGGAGGAGGTAACTTTTTTTTCACTTGAAGTAAATTATGTTTGTTTCCTCATTGAATAGATTACTAGATTCATGTAACTTAGAGCTGTGAGAACTGATTGTTATCAGTCTGTTTATCCAGTACTTTTCCATTTGGTAAGTCCCGGGGAAACAGTGAAAATGTTCTCCACACAGCTTTATCTTCTTTATAGTGAACTTGAATCCTAGTATTCTGAGGCCCTTCTGTCGCATGGGAGAGATATGAATTTATTGCTTAGCTTTAATGTTAAACGATAAAATACCTAAAGTATAAAGTATCTAAAATAATAGTAATCACTAAAGGAACAGTATATGAGGAAGTGAGACTACACTAATGAAATTAGTATAAATAAATAGTACAGTGGATTGAAGTGTGCTGGTAGACACAGGGTTTTAAACTACATGAACTATGAATCTCAGAAACATGCTGAATGAAGGACCTCGTACCCAAAAGCCCTCACTGTATAAATCTAATGATTTTTTTAAATTTTTAAGTGATTATTTTTTATTTTTAAATGATGATTTGTGGTTTAACTTGGTGCCTTGTACTTGCTAGGCAAGTACTCTACCACTTGAGCCACACCCCAGCCCTGTTTGCTTTAGTTATTTTTCTGATGGTGTTTTTGGCATAATTATCCTACCTATGCTTCACAAGTAGCTGGGATTACTACACATGTTGCCTCCATGCCTGGCTTGTTCATGTGAGATCTCACTAACATTTTCTCTGTATTGACCTTCCACAGTCCATCAGCTCTCTACCTTCCAAGTAACTGACATTGCAGGCATGGGCCACCACACCTGGTACAGAATAAAGAATTAGTCTGAACAAATGATCCCTGCTTATTACATTGAATAGTAACACATTTTCTTTCCAAGTTCTAGTAACCAGATTTTATCCTTTCCTAAATATTCTGGTTGCTTCTCCCTAGAAAACAAGTTTACCAAACCATAACTAAAAGCAAATCACAATGTATATCAGGTTCAAGAACTTCAAGGGAGGTAGGGAAGAGAATAGAGGATAGGATAGCATCCCTTCCAGAGAGTGGAAACTACTGGAATTCATGGTTCAATAACACCTCAGCTATATGCTTATGGAAGTTCTTTTTCCCTGTTATTTTGCCTCTGCATAACTGTTTTTCATGTTAGCCATTTTGAATTGATGCCTTTCAGAATGTAGTAGTGTTTTCAATCCTTTGTTGAACCTGACTGACTGTATAGCACAGTCAAGTGACATAATAATAACTAATAATTATTGTTGTTATTATTATTTTGTCGGTTGTGGGGCTTGAATTCTGGGGGTCAAGGCAAGCACTCTACCACATGAATCACAGCACCACTTCCGATTTCTGGTGTTTAATTGGGGTTAAGAGTCTATGGACCTTCCTGTCTGGGCTGGATTTGATCCTCAGATCTCAGCCTTCTGAGTAGCAAGGATTACAGAAGCTAGGATTATAGCCACTGGCACTCGGCCATAATTATTATTCTTAATGATCTCAGAGTGGTACCTACAGGTTGTGTTCAGTTCTAGGAGGTGTTTATCCTAATATAGGATAAACTGCATTCCTTTAAAAATGTTCTTTGTCTAATTGAAGAATGTCCTTTTTTGAGGACATTCTACCTACTTCCAAAGTGGTACCTCTCTACCCTACCATTGTGCTCTTTCAAAACAATCAGCTCCAGCCCAGAAATGCAATGTGATTAAGCTAGTTAGAACACCTCGAGGGGAGAAGCCAGGCTGTGGGCGCCTGCCTTTTAGGGACGGTGTGAATGTTATGGTGCTCACTTTGGGTCTCCACAAATGAGCCTTGTGCCTGCTTTTTTGTTCTTAGTTTTATAGAGAATAAAGAAGTTCTTAATTGGCACATTGCCTAATCTACTCTTGCAGATTGGGAAGGTAACTTAGAATCTTCTGAAAAGCAAATCAATTTTAATGCTCCATGTAATGCCATTTTGCCTGTGACAGAAATTATGTTACTGTGGTTTAAGGCAAGTTGAGGCATAGAATTTGTAGAATTATATGGTAGTGTTATGATCCAACTTCTATTGGCTTTTTAATATGGTTTTTAGGTGTAATGATTGCCTAAATGGTCAAATGTTCAATACTTTTTACTAGGACCTGATAAAAAAGGACATCAGTTCTCGTGTGTTTGTCTTCATGGTGACAGAAAGCCTCATGAGAGAAAGCAAAACCTGGAGAGATTTAAGGTACTAATATTTAGTTAGCTATATATTCTTACTACTTAGGAAGCGGCAATTCTAGAGTTAATCAGTTTCATTTAATACTATTAAAGCAATTCTTATCCTAGAAAGTCTGGAACACTCCTAGTCTGACATGGTGGCAGGGGTTCATCATGGTAAATGTCCTCTTCCCTGCCAGCACAGTACTACTAAATACAATTCTCTGTTTAAGAAATATCGATTGTTTTGGGAGAAGAATAGGTAATCCATGTCTGTGAGTCTTCTTTGTCTTTTTTCCTTAAGAAAGTATATAGTAATACTTACAGAAATTTAATTTGGAAATTAATTGAAGACGGACATGAAGCAGGGAGCACTGGGTTTGGGAGCATTAAGATTATGTTTCCATGCTGGACATACTTGATATAGATGTTTAAACATATTGCCTGGCCTAGAGTCAGCATGGGCCTATTTTTTTTCCTCTGGGAATTGGACTAGACCTGAACTCAGTATGTTCTTCTTTCCTCCAAATCTCTTAATTTTGCTGCACACAAATGACATCTAAATGCTAATTTGTATTTTCTTTACTTTGGGATTTTTGTCTATTAACACAAAACAGTGCAACCTTGAAGGAAGGAATATGTCAAGTAGTCTGGATTTATATTTATACATTATATTCTGTTTTATCTTTTTCTTGAATTTTCAAAATATTTCTGAAAACTAAACATCTCTCAAGTTTAAGCCAAATTTAAGCAGTGGTTTAATTAATGAATCCAATCTTTATTATCTTAAGTGGCATATTTCAGCAAATCATAACATAAAACGTCTTCAATTATGAATTTATAAACCTCTAATCTGATATTAACGTTTAGTTATTAGAGATCTCACCTAGTGAAAAGATAATATTTATTTGTATTTTTAGCATATTTTCTGACATTCCTTTTTCTTTTGGTTCTCTTTAGAAGGGAGATGTAAGATTCTTGATTTGCACAGATGTAGCTGCCAGAGGAATTGATATCCATGGTGTTCCTTACGGTAAAATTTAAAAAAAAAACAACTTTTTATGCCTGCAAATTAAATTTTAGATGCATAAAGCTCAGTACGTTTTTAAAATTTCCAACTAATGGCAGTGGTTAATAGTTGCTTTTATTTTTTTGTAGTCATAAATGTCACCCTGCCTGATGAAAAGCAAAACTATGTACACCGAATCGGCAGAGTAGGAAGAGCTGAAAGGTATTACTGTGATCTCTTCCTCCTGTTTAAGCTTCTGTGTTTCAGAAATGAAGTCTAATAAAGATTTTTCAAATCTTTTAGGATGGGTTTGGCTATTTCCCTGGTGGCAACAGAAAAAGAAAAGGTAATCTTGTCAGTGCTCCATTGAATTCATTGTGTGTGTTGTAATTTTTAGATGCTGGCAATAAAAGCCATTTGATTTCCCATTTCAGTTGGATTCAGGCAACTGGAATATAAGGACATGAGCTTTTATGGCAATTTATTCTCTTTTATTCATTGAATAAACAAGCATAGGACAAGACAGAAAAAATACAAAACAAGATTTGCCTTTATATAACTTTTTGACAAAAAATACTTAAAAATTGTAGTGTGGTACCTCAGAAGACTGCTTAGGGTGAATAACTTATTTTGATATAATTATAGATTTATAGAAAAGTTATAATTAAATTACACATTTTGCCCTAGTTTTTGATTCTCTTGTATAAAACCTATTTAGTTTTTATGGTAATCCCCAATTTTTTTTTTTTTTTTACTGTTTTTATTTATTTTTTTGGTCTTAGCACTTTAATTCAGGGCTTGGGTGCTTTCCCTGAGCTTATAATTGCTCAAGGCTAGCACTGTACCACTTTGAGCCACAGCACCACTTCCTGTTTCCAGTGAGTAGTTGGAGATAAGGATCTCACAGGAAGTGGTGTTGTAGCTTTAGTGGTAGAGTGCTCGCCTTGAGCTGAAGAGCACAGGGACAGCGCCCAAGCTGTCAAGCTGTTCAAGCCCCAACGAACAGGAAAAAAAAAAAAGGATCTCACAGACTTAACTGCCTGGGCTGGCTTTGAACTGTGATCCTCAGATCTCAGTCTCCTCAGTAAGCTAGGATGGCAGGTATAAGCCACTGGTGCTCAGCATCTTTTACCATTTTCTGTCTGAGAATTTCTACAGCTGACATCTATTTTAGGGCAGTTTTTGGATTACTCTCAAAAAATCTCAGAAGGTCTATGTAATGAGCTACTGAGTAGTAACAGTAATTGGGCAAGAAATATGTAGTTTTATTTTTCCAGTGCTTTAAGGAAGTAATTTTCTTTTTAAGTAAAGTGTTTAGCATGTACTTTCTCTACATGCTCACATTTTCGTCATCTTTAACCTAGGTTTGGTATCATGTGTGTAGCAATCGTGGAAAAGGATGTTACAACACAAGACTCAAGGAAGACGGGGGCTGTACTATATGGTATAATGAGATGCAGGTGAGATTGGAAGACATAGGGAGCATTGGGTTAATGTGGGCAATGAGGACTGTCTGTTTACAAAAGCTGCCTCTCCACCATTAACAATCTGTAACAGTGGAGAAGAGTAGTGATGGTTGGTGGGTAATACTGGCTGTAGTTGGTAAATTATTATGGGTGAGCTTTTATCTTCAGCAATCTAATTTTCATTTATCCTATGGATTCAGGTTTTGCTGGTTATTGAATGCTGTTAAAATTATAACTGTCAGAATTAGAGTTTTATTTGGAAATATATCCATTTTCTCTCTTTCTTAGCTGCTGTCTGAGATAGAAGAACATCTCAACTGTACCATTTCTCAAGTTGAGCCTGATATAAAGGTTCCAGTGGATGAGTTTGATGGGAAAGTTACCTATGGTCAAAAAAGGGCTGCTGGTGGTAAGCTTTGACTAGTTCAAAGTCTGCTTTACATGTGAATGTACCCCTTTTGAACTCGGGTTTGTGAGGAGAGTAATTTTGTTTCAACGTGCTGAGTATGTTATTAGCATATTAATGAGTATAACTACTTGTACTCTTAAACACTTGTCCACTCTTGTCTTACAGCAATTTTATTGTGTGATCTGTGTGTGAATGAGAGACAGCTGCTTAGCTGCTTCTCTCCAAGTGTTAATGTCACAAGAGCACTTGAACTTGTTACGGGATTATTAGGACACAGGAGAATAATATGTAATTTTGAACAAGGAGCCAGAAGCCGTTGCCTTAGGTGCCAGCCAACCTGGAAGGTTCATCCTTAGTTAGTTCCTGAATGTTTTTGAGTCAGGCTAGACTAGAGTTTGCAGATTGAGGGAGGGGAGGGAGGGGGGAAGGGCAGCTTTTAGTAAGGTCAAGTCAGTTATGTTTAAATAATTGGCTTAAGATTTTACAACTGACTTTCTGAAGACACCCTGCCCAGTAGTCCATTTTTATTGCTAGAAGTGATGTTTAAAGTGTTAGAATTGAGCCAAACTATTGCTGACAAGTACTTCAAGCGTGTAGTTTACATTACTTTGTGATTTGTGTGTGTGATGCAGGTGGAAACTATAAAGGCCATGTGGATATTTTGGCACCTACTGTTCAAGAGTTGGCCGCCCTTGAAAAGGAGGCACAGACATCTTTCCTGCATCTTGGCTACCTTCCCAACCAGCTGTTCAGAACCTTCTGATTTCCATGTAGACTGAATAAGATTGGAGTAATAAAGTCTGTAGTCTTAAAACTAACACAGTTGCACTGCTTCCAGGAGGCAGTATTTATAGTAACTAAGCTGTTAATGCCAACTCTTGCATGTCAAGAAACATTCATCGTAGGGATTCTTTATCAAATGGCAGTCTATGAAAATAAATTCAACTGTACTTTCATGAAGAGTTGTTTGTGTCTTCTCATAAGGTTTGTGTCTTTTTTTAAGTTACTTTCTTCTCCCCTCCTTTAAAGAATGCTGTGGGGCTAGGGACAGGGGACCCACGAGAAACCACCAGCAGATGTGCTGTGGGTAGCTTTTCCAGGGGATTATTCCTAAGGGCAGTTGTTCTTCAGGGGGGTAAGACTGTTTGGGTGCATGTAAAGCTGGAAGAGAATTGTAACGTGGGGGAAAATTATCCCAAGGCAGAAGGAGTGCTTGGTTGGTTTGAAATTCTGTGGGGTGATGTTAAAGTTATATTTTGAAGGATTGCCTTTTCAAGAATCCTTCTTTCCAAATTACACATACCCAGGGAAATAAATCACATCTGTGGGTCCTCTACAACTTAAAAATCAAGCTCAAATTCAGTTAAGAACTTAAAAACTCAGTTCTCTGGGACATACTTTCTTAAACTCTGTCTCTTGCCTAAACTACTACAAAGAAAGGGGGAAATGCCTGAACTGTTTCTTTGTGCCTTTGTTTATAGGGATTTCTTTTTCTTGTGAGAGTTGGGAGGGAATTCCTCTAACCGTAGCGTTTGCTGAGAGCCTAGCTTATTATGTATTTCTTATGTGATGGTTTGCAAACCTCTTGGCAATGAAATACTTTCTTTGAGCAAAATCTTGAGTGAAACGCAATATATAATCAGGTAAAAGCTCTAATGGAAATGCTGTTGCCTGGTGTAAGGTCTTAGTTTGTGCAGTGATTTGCAGATGCCATTTTGGACCACTTTCTGTGGAGATTTCCTGGAACTACTTTTCAGGTCACTCAGCTGTGATGGCAGCTCTTTGCAGTGCTCACCCCAGTAGTTAACTGCTTTAGAAATGGACTTTTGGTGGACACATAACCGCAAACACTGAGAGTCAGACTACATCTTTTCCCATTTCCCTCAGGCTGGAACTTGGGTGTGGTATTAGTGAGCCTGCTACCACCATTACAGAAGAGTAGTGCTTGAGGAATGACAGCAGCAGGACAGAAAGGGAGAGAGCTGTGCACCTGCTCTGGATGAACTCTTGAAATCACTCGATCTTATCTGAGCCACTAAAATGTTAGGTCTGAGCTACAGAACTTTAGCCTCTGCCCAACTAACACAGAGCACTAAAGGCCCTTGAGAGTCTGGAGGGTGTTAAATACTAATCTTTAAATGCCAGTATTTCTGACTCAGTGTGTAGTGGGATCCATGGTTGTTCCAGCTTGGGCCCAGGCTTGATAGGACAGGAGCTTGGCACCTGCCTTCCTACCTGTCTGGAGGCTCAATGGTGGTTCACCTTCAAAGCCATTTTCAGGCTTTGATTGCTAGAATTATACTTTCTTAGTAATGGTTTTTTGGAGGGTTTGGGTTTTGGGTATTTTTGTGGGGGGACTTTTTTGAAGCTCTGTTTCTAATCTTAACAAACTGCTGTGTTTTACTCTGACTCACATTTACTTCCCTGTGTTATTTGATATTTTGAGGTTCTTACTCAGAGAAGGTAGAAAACCAAATAAAATGAGCAAATGCTTTTTTTGCTTAGAACTGATTAGAAAGGATTCTAACTAGTGGCCTTGGTTACAAGATTGCCAAAACCTATCTGCATTTCATCCTTAATACATCGTTTATAAATAAAAATGTGGCAACTTTAATTCCCATCTCCCTTCCTACTTTTTTTTTTTTTGGGTCCGGTTGTGGGGCCTGAAATCTAGGCCTGGGTGCTGTCCCTCAGCTCTTCAGCTCAAGGCTAGCGCTCTACCACTTGAGCCACAGCGCCACTTCCGGCTTTTTTCTTTTTGCTTATGTGGTGCTGAGGAATCGAACCCAGGGCCTCGAGCATGCAAGGCAAGCGCTCTACCACTGAGCCACCTTCCCAGCCCCTCCCTTCCTACTTTTAAAAAACATTCTCATCACAAGAGAGAGTTACTACTAGCATTTTATTTTATTTTATTTTTATTTTATTTTTTTTGGGGGGGGTCCAGTCGTGGGACCTGAACTCTGGGCCTGGGCTCTGTCCCTCAGCTCTTCAGCTCAAGGCTAGCGCTCTACCACTAGCATTTTAATTGATTTATTTTCTTAGTCAATTTTTTTCTTTTTTTCTTTCTTTTCTTTTTGCTTATGTGGTGCTGAGGAATCGAACCCAGGGCCTCAGGCATGCAAGGCAAGCGCTCTACCACTGAGCCACCTTCCCAGCCCTTCTTAGTCAATTTTTTTGGTATATAGGTTAGATCAATTTTTTTGGTATATAGGTTAGTCAATTTTTTGGTATATAGGTTATATAGGTGTATATAAATTCTTATATCTTCATTTAACCTACGTATTCCTCATAATGACTGATCATGTTTTGAAAGGGCAGTGGTTTATGTATCTCCTGCTCCTAGGAGTCCTGAGGAGAACTGAAAAGACTGAGCTTCAAACTGGACACCGGTGGCTTATGCCTGTAATCCTAGCTAGCTACTCATTAGGCTTAGATCTGAGGACCAAAGTTAGAAGCAAACCTGACCAGAAAAGTCTGTAAGGCTTATTTCCAATTAATCACCAAATAGCCGGAAGACAAGCTGTGGCTCAAGCGGTAGAGCACTAGGCATGAGTGAAACAGTCTCAGGGACACAGGCCCTGAGTGTTCAAGCCCTGGGACCAGCATTAAGAAAAGAAAAGAATAAGGCCTGTGTTTGAATCTGTATGCTATCACATGACAGAAGGTAAGATTGCTAGCCTCTAAACTAGCTTGTGAAAACAGTTTGTATCATTCAGTACAATGTTTAGCATTCAGTAAAATGTTCAGTTATTAGAGGCTCTGATAGTGTATATGTTTTTAGTACTTACATGATTTATATTGTGTATATTGTGAGTATTACATGTAATACTCAGGGAATGTCTTCTGCCTTTTGGATTGTTTTGTTACACTAGAATCCTAGAAATAGGATTTTTTAATTAGATTTGAACTTGAACACTTGGTGGGATAGTCAACACCAGATTACTTCCTGAAAGAATTGTTCTGACTGACAGTCCCATTAGCCAAATAAAAATTCCTGACAATTTATTTTACAAACTGAAATTTGTTCCACCTAAAACTTGGCTTTCCTGTGTCATCATGGGCTGTGTGAGTGAGTGCTGGTGAGTAGAGGTGATTTTGCGTCTTACACACAACTGCTTGTGTGTGACCCTCACCCCCACCCCCACTCCAGTCCCACTGCCATCATATTGGATTACACGGAGGACCCAGACTTACTATAAACAAGCTTGAAGGCTTCTTTCTCTTTTCATTTCTTTCTTTTTTTTCTTAAGGTAGAACTGTGTGTGTGGCAATGACTCAGAACTGCCTGCCTTTAAAAAAAGAAAAGTTGGTTCCCAGCCAAGTCTAAATGGGCAAAGCCATTTAATCACATTCCTCACCTCATTCCAACTTAAAAAGGAACTCTGCACTTTATTGCAGTTTGAGTGAGATATGTAAAATATGAACAACGTGTAAGTAAATACACAAGGAGATCCGGAGGTAGGCTCTCTTGTAATCTTATCATCTGTCTATAGATGTTGACAGTTTCTAAAGTACAGGGTTTTTTTGTCTCCCCACCCCCCACCAAATGACCTTATTTGGGGGGAAAAAGAAATATTTGTTACAGGGGAAAATGTGATGGAACAGGAAGGAAAGGGAGGGATGCTGTTTTGGTCCTCACGGGCACTGATGGAGGATTCCCTTAGGAGGCGTGAGGGGCCTTTGCTGCCGTTCTCCACCCTGTTGCTTTCAGTGATTAGCCTTCATTAAAATCTAGAGCTCTAGTTGTTCTGGACAGATTTTCCACCCTTTCTGGTGAAGAGTATTGAGGGGAATTTGAAAGAACATGGAGTCAGGAAGTCCTGAATTTTATTCTAACAATAGTTACTGACTTCTCCAGCTAAACGACTTTCAGAGTCTTGGGTCTAAGATGGCACCCAGAAATCTGCATTTTAATAAAACCCTCAGATGATGGTCCCATGCCAAGGGACCTCAAATCACACACGAGAGACACTGTGAGGAGAAATGGCTCTAAGAGCTTTCCTTCTCACGGTCATGTTAGCTCAGGCTCAGGCAGGGTGATTTAAAAGGAAGCATGTGGTGTACTAGACCTCTCTGCTTGTCCCCTGTACCGAGTGTTTACACCTCATTCCTCAGCATACTGGCTCTCACCTTAGTCACATCTTGGGATCATTTATTTAGGACATTCCTGTGCCCTGAATGAAAGTACTAATGTCTAGCTCTGGAAACTGCTTTTCCTCATCCTGAGTGTGCCCTGCGTGCCCCCACGGGGTGCTGGTGTGCTCTCAGAGGTGGGGGCTGCTGCTTTCGTGGTTGTGTCCTCCATGTGTCCCAGCTGATAGAGCCAGAGCTTAAATAGACTTCGGGTTCAGCCTGAGCCCTTGCTGAAAGGAATATTGTGTAGTGGAGCTTACTGAAGAAAAAGACTGATAAAAGTATGTCATTTGCTGGATCATTTTGAGAAACTAGTAAGATTATTTTTAAAGTAAGTTTTGTCACCAGGTTAATTATCTTCAGAATGGTGACTTTGGGCAAATAAGTAAGTGTTATAAGGAATTGTTTTAAAACTCATGTGGCCTGAAATCCACTCCCCCGCTTTTTTTTGGCTAGACACGACCATTCTCAAATCACTCTGGAAACCACTCAAGCCAATATTGCAGCTCAACTCTTGTCCCTTGGTTGGTAATCTGTTCTGTCCTCCAGCAAAGATTCTAGCATGGTTAGTGGTGTGTTTCCTTAAACAGAATCCCAATCACAAGGTAATTTTTGCCCTGCACAAGTTGGACTTGGAAGAGGCAGTTGGAAGACGTGTCTCATGAGGCATTAACTGGTGTGTTGGGGCTTCCCAGTGTTTATGTCCAAACAGTTGTCTGAGGGAGGAGAATCTGAGATGGAAATCCTGTTCAGAATAGGAAGTCAAGAGACAGAAGGCCAGTAGGGATAGCTTTGGCTGAATGTTGGAGCAATGTGGCTTCCT